CCTGTTTCATATGGGATTCCTTGCAGGCACTGTTCTGATATGTAGGTGAGATTAGGTAAATGCAAATCCCCAGAATCTTTTAAAAATGGGAGTTTTCCTTGCTCTTGTCCTTTGCTTCAGAAGGTCCAACCCTATATAATTTATGGTATTGCAGAATTTCATGTTCCTAGTGACTGCATAGATCACACTGTGTACAGTACATAGATCAGCATAGCTAACCCACTTTGGTAGATTGGTTTGTGAGAAAAACAGTAACTGGTTAACATTCTAAAGGAAGTGCCCTTCCATCATTTGCTTTATGCATTATTGTCATGGAGTGAATTCGTTGAAAAGTAACAATTCAAACTGCAAAATCAGATAACTTGCATTTTTGTCAACTTAGAGTAGCACTGGTGCTTATAAAATCTGCCTTAAATCATCAGGTGATTGCTATATCTAGTTTGCATCTGCATTTTCTAACAAGATAAAGTGCTTTTACACTCATATCTATAGTTTTCTAGTTACTCTTTGGTTTCTTATATATTGACAATATGCTGTGTTCAAATTGGGATGACATTCTTCTTGTCTCAGTATTTGCTTAGACTGTTAACCCGTCACTGCATTAGAAACCTTAAAGTACCAGGCAGAGAAAGAAGCACATTGGACAGTCAAACAGAAAGCTTCATATTATTATATAATACAGGAGCCAGAAGAGCCAGCATGTTCAATTCTTTTTTTTTTTTGAATAAATTTTATTATTTTCTCTACAATCTAAAATTAAAAACATCAGTCATTTAAGACATTGGACATACTGGGTTGACATCTTATTCTTTTTAACAGTCAATAACCATATTCAGATCTACACATAGTCCCGTTTCTCTAGCCAATAATAAAAAGAGTTCCAAGTTTGGTAGAAATACGTATCCTCCTCCTTCAGAGACAAGGTCAATCTGTCCATTTCTGCACAGTCCAAAATCTTTTTTAAGATCAATTCTTCAATAGGTGGCTCTTCATTCCTCCAATTTTGAGCAAATACAATCCTTGTCGCAGTAATTACATGTAGAATCAAGTATATAGCTTGTTTGTCAAAGTCATCAGAAATAATGCCTAATAGAAAAACTTCAGGTTTAAATGTTAAAGGTTTTTGTAGCATTTCCTCAAGCCACTTCTATATTTTAACCAGTATTTTTTTGCCGTATCACAAGTGCACCACATATGATAAAAAGTACCAGATTTATGTTTACATTTCCAACATCCATTTGACATATTTGAGAACATTTTTACTAGTCTATTTGGCAATAAATATCATACATAAAACATTTTGTAAAGGTTTTCTTTATATGAAGTTACTAAGGTTACCTTAATAGTTCTTTCCCACAGCTTTTGTCGTTTCTGTAACTCAATATTATATCCAAAATTTTGTGCCCATGTTATCCTTAACTTGTTCATCTTCCATTTTCATGTCCAAAAGAAAGTTATACAATCTTTTAATCATTTTTTCATCTGATTTTAAAATCATTTGATCAAGTGTTCTTAATTCTTTATAAAAACCATACATTCTATAGTCTTTAACATATCTCGATTGTATTTGAACCTTTTGCCACCAAGAAATATCAATACCCTGCTCCTGTAGTTCTTGATTCAGTTTCAGTTTTCCATCATTATCCAAAATATCATCATATCTCACAATCGTATTAAAGTTCAATGCATTTGGATATGTAAGAGCTTTCATAGGAGAAAGCCATCTCTGCAACTTAGTATACAGCTTTGTCTTTTAGCTTTTCCCAAACTGATATTAGTGACTTTCTAATTTAATATTTAAGAAACAACCATGTGTCTTACACTTCTCATAACACATATAAGCAGTCCATCCCATTTGTAAATCATGCCCTTCAAGATATAGATTTCTCTTATTTCTTAAAGTTATCCATTCTTTTAACCACATTACGACACAAGCTTGATAATTCAGGATCCAATCAGGAAGGCCAAATCCCCCATTCCCTTTGGCCTCCTGGAGCATTTTTAATTTAATCCTTGGTTTCTTCTTTTGCCATATAAATCTCGAAACTTGGGTGTTTAAATCATCAAAACATTTTTATTAATTTTTATGGGAATTGTTTGGAATAAAAACAAAAGCTTTGGTAATATATTCATTTTAACTATTGCTACTCTTCCTAACAGAGATCATTGCAAGTTAGCCCATTTTTCCAGATCACTCTTAATTTCCTTGCATAGTTTAACATAGTTATCTTCTTTCAATGTAGCCCATTTTGCTGTGAGAAAAATTCCCAAATATTTAACTTTTTTAACAATTTAAAGGTCTACTTGTTCCGTCAAAGTCATTTTCTGCTCCAGTGTGAGATTTTTCACTAACAATTTGGTCTTTTCTCTATTTATTTTCATTCCGGTAACTTCACCATAGTCTTCTATCTTTTTTAAAAGTTTAGGCGTCGTTACCAAAGGATCCTCTAAGATAAAAACTAGGACATCTGCAAATGCTTGAAGTTTATAAGTTTTGTCTCTGATTCTGGTACCTTTAATATCCATATCTTCTCTAACATTTCTGTTTAAAACTTCTAAGATCAATATAAATAACAATGGTGATGAAGGACATCCTTGTCTTGTGCCCTTTTGAATGTCTGCGGTGTTTGTAAGTTCTCCATTGATTATTATCCTAGCAGTCTGTTTTTGATAAATGCTTGATAATGCATTAATACATTTTCCACCAAATTCCATTTGTACTAATTGTTGTTTCATGAATTGCCAGTTAAGCCAGCATGTTCAATTCTGAAAGCTTCTTTGTTCTGAAGTTCTCTGATGGATGATTATAAATAAAAGGGTCTGAAAAATGTTGCTTTATATATTTGTTCTAAACTTTCTAAACACTGTACAGATGGGAAAGTATAAAATAGATTGTACCTGTAGACATGTAATACCATGTAATAGACATGTACCTGTAGACATGTAATACCAAAGAAAAATATATGAAGAAGGAATAAAAAAGCAAGCACTGGAGCAGCTAACTCTACATTTGCTAGTGAAAAAGTAGAGGTAAATTTGATTGCATTCTTGCCATATTAATTTCCTGGAAGGCAGCAAGTACCAGCTTCCAGTGTATTTGGTCTCATGGTCAGTGACAGAAGCGAAATAGTGCAGTTCTTCATTTTTGCAGTCCCAAAGAAACTATCAGGTTGGGTGGAGGATTCTTACTGGCAAAGGACTCCCTGGGGCCAAGTTGGTCTCTTCTGTACTGTGATATTCTCCCTGGGAAGCAGGGGATACGGATTCACAAGGGTCCTTGATCTCCTGGCTGGTGACAGAAGTCATAGTGTGTCTTTCTTAAGCTCTACAATCCTTGTGCAATTTTAAATCTCTAAATATATGAAGCATCTAGTTTATGATTCAGGTCTACAGTTGGATATTTTCTGCCTCTTGTTCCCAGAAAACTGTTCATAATTTACTTGACAGACTGATCATTGTGGGGAAGAAAACATTCACCCATATATGCTAAATCATCTCATTTCCCATCAGTTTGAATTGTGATATATGCGTTCTGTTGGATTGACTGTCCCCACTTAAAGTTTTGCCTGTAAAATATGTGTAAAATACTTAATGTACTGCGTATTCCACAAGATTTAATCCAGGTCTTCTGCAAGATAAATATTAATAGGAATGTTCTGTTTGGGTAGATTATCTCTATTCGCTGTGATTTGTTTCCCAAATGTTATGCAGGATACTTTTACTAGTGCTACTTTTATGACTTTCAGCCATCTTGTTTCTATTTATTTGGAAATGTTAAAGGTTTAGAATTCTTTTTCTAAGTTGATGTTTTTGGCTCAGGAGTTAATTTACACATTTATGATTCTGCTTTTTAAGGGGCAAATATCTGTTTAATAAATATTATTTGTTAGATTTATATCCCATTTTTTCTTTTTTAAAGAACTCTGTCTCCTATTTCTTTTCCTGAAATCTATACTAATTTTCATAAGAAAATCCCTCTTAAATTACTGTTTTAAACCTTTAGTTACTAAACCAATACACAGAGAACATCTGTTATATAGGAAATGAAGTTACCAGGATTGATTCAGAAAGAACAGTATTAAATACTTATTTCAGAACAGGTAACTGGGGAGAGACAAAGGAGTATGAAACAGTAGAAAATTGCAATTAAGGATTTTACAGAAGATTGTGCCTTCCTAGGTTTCTAGTTAGCTGAAAAGCATGGGTGTGAAATGAGAAAGATACCTTTAGATATTTTTCTTCCTTTGAAAGTTTCAAAGATGGCAATTTACATTATTCATTGGTTGAAGTTTGAAGCATCATAGAATTTTGGAATACTGGATTTTCTTTAATAATGTTTGTCAATGCATTTCTGGAATTAAACAGTTGAACATAGTGAAAGGGAAGAAAAATATTCAATAGTCTCGCTGCTGGGATTAGTAATAATGAAAGGCACTTGTGAATTTCATTTTGGAAAGCCACCAAACCTACTTGTTCACATGTATCATGGACAGCTGTTCCATGGAAATTTTTTCTTTGTTACTGGTACAATTATAGGACTGAATTAGCAATAGACATGAAAGGTTTATTTAAATAAACTTCTTTACTGTGGGAAGGGAATGAAGAGGAGAAAGAAATTATGATGATTTTATGAGTTCCATCCCATTCATTATAAGCTTTTGTAATGGGTTATATCAGTACTGGTGAGGTAGCCAATTTAGATGTAGTTGTATATTAGCTTTATTTCTGAAACTTCTTAGTGTACATTAATAGGATATTCAATAATTTGGTAAAGAACCTGAGGCTGAAAAATAGCTCATTCTTTTACAGGATTACCAGCTTCCTTTGTCCAAGGCTGTTAACAGATTTCTAGTGTACCACAGATTTGTGACTGTTACATGTGCTTTTCAAGGTTGATAAGAGATTTGCAGAAACTTTGTCTCAGTCTGGCTCATCTACTTGCTTTTGCGTGATTTAATGTATCTTGTGCCTTACTATATTGCTGTATTTTTATTTTACAGTATATGGAGAGGACCAAATGTGAACTGTGTTGACAGTACTGGATACACTCCATTGCACCATGCTGCTTTGAATGGTCACAAGTAAGCATCCTGTATTTTGAAATACTTTTAAAACTACCCAAATAGTTAATATTCCAAGCATTGCCTCTAGTTTTTCCCTGCTTATTTATGCGAACATCGCATCTAGTTGGTATCAAATCTAGATAACAGTTCACCCAAACTGTGCCTGCTTCAATATAAGCAGCATATTAAACCAGATTACTGTTATGTGTGTTCAGATTTCTTGATGTTTTCTGCTGTGGCCTGAGTGTGGTTTACAGCAGTTTTAAATGTAAAAATAGGAAGGAGTAACACAACATTGATCTACTGAACTCCAAGATTAAGTCAAGCAATGACTAATTTAACCTCATTGACTAAAAGCTACCAAATCCCTACATTGCTCTTGTTTGTTTTCTGAATGCCCTAAGCCTAAGGAGGGCCTAAGGAGATATAATGTCATGACTGTGAGACAGCTCCAAGACCATTTTCATAACCTCATTCTATAATGAAAAATTAAATGTCTGTTGTCCCTGCTCTACCCCACCAGTTAGCAGGCAGGGACACTCATTGCTGTTTGTCTTTTTCAGATCATCTTAGGCCAAAGTAGGGAGAGAGACCTTGTATCTTGTGGGGAGAGCCTGAACCTTTGACATTTTCCCCTAGATCAGGAATGAACAACACACAGCACCTAAGCAACATGTGCCTCCTGCCTTTAGTGTGGCCCTAGCCTCAGGCAAAAATTTGGCAAATTGCCACTGAGGCATGAAATGGGACAAATACAGCTTGAAAACTAGCTACACTTGTCCCTTTTAAGCTTCCATCATTGTATTTCTTTGATGTTATTTCTAAATAATGTAGTGTTCAAGATCACTGTTATAAGTGCATCATTCAGTTACAGCTGCACATTGTATATTCAGAGTTGAAAATCTCATTCGTTGTTTCTCAAGCCATATTCTGAAGGTCATGATCCACTTATCCACCCCTCAGAACCCTAGTGAATATTTATTGACTAAACCTCTCTATCTCTTATAGCCTCCTTGCACTGTTTCCTCTTTCACTGTGCTCTCCATAAACTGTGAACAGCTGTCACACTTTACTGTGTTACCAAACATGCTAAACTTTAGTATGTTAGCACACTTTAGTATGTTAGCAAACCAGCTGAACAGAATCCACAGTAACCAGTTGCAGTCCTTTGCTCCATAGCAGTTGCAACATGATCACACTTCAAGAAAGAGTAAGCCTTGACTCATCATATTATTTTTGCTAGTTAAGACCTGTGGCACTTTCACTCTCCTTAAGTATCTCTGCCTTACCCATTTAATTTGAGCAACAGTGATCTGGTTAATTATTTGCTGTTAACTTGTTCTTTGTTGGATAGCTTACAGTTGGTTTTACACTCATAGCACACATAAGCTCTGCTAGAATAAAACAAAATTTAACTAGAACAGCAAAACAAACTCCAGTCATAATCCATAACCTTGACACTGTTTATAGGTGATTTGAATGACTGAAAGAAATTCTTACAATTTGATCTTCTGCACACTTAGTAAGGAATATGCTTCATTGACTTGACCTGGCAGTATTTCTCCTTATTTGTGCCTCAGATCGCAGCTTTATTTTATCTGAGTGGAAATAACTATAAACTGTTTTTCCATTTGTAGTTCTTCTTAGGGGTCTCTGTGCATCACACATATGGGGCCTGCATCTACATGAGGCCTGTTGTTAGAAAGATTTGAAAGCTAGACCCATTCTGGCAGAGCCCCTCTCTTTGGTATATCTAGAAGGAGCTCCCCCAGTTTTCCCCAGTTCTCTTCCAACCACCATTGTGGGTGCTTTGGGGCTTTCCTCTGTGTATAGTCTTCATGTTCTCCTTTAGCTTTCCTTGATCTTACTGTGTTTTCTTCCTTGACTTGGTTCACTGCTCTGTTCTCTTGCTTTTCCTTTTCGAAAACCCTACTTTAGCCCTAGCTTTTCTCCCCCCTCGAAAAAAAAAAATCTTAACCCCCCCATTGTTGACTCTTACAGTCTATCCCTTTGTCTTACTCTGTCTTTCTTCTCTTTCCTGATGGCACTCAAGGAGCCCTTTTAGAAGTGTGTCTGATGTGGGAGTCATCTACCTCCCATGGATTGGAACTCATCGTGCTGAGGAGAGGGGCACCACATGGAAGCAAGCACACACTTGGAAAAGCTGGGCAGGGCAGCTCCGGGCCAAGCTCTAGAGCTGCACTCTTCTGGCCATCTACTTGGCTGTCGCACTGTCAACTGAATGCCCATCTACTTCTTGAGCTGTTCCATCTTCTTACCTTCTATCAGTGGCATCTGGGACTCCATCAGCTATTCTGTCTGTGCTGTCCACTCCTGGGTGTGTGGATGAGGCAAGGAAGCTGGCCAAGAAGGCAAAAAAAAAAAAAAAAAGGCAGATGCATGGAAAGCCAAGCACAAGAAGCATCCTAGGCACCATTCACCATTGGTGCTGTCTGTGCCTGTGGCAGCACTGGTCCTAACAATACCATCCTGCCTTCCATCAGTTGTCTCACCTTTGAGGGTGCTGTTCTTTTTGCACTAGAAACACCTCAGCCCATGCTGCCAATAGGCCCAGCTGCCAGTCCTTTGCCACCTTGAACTGCCAGCTAGTTGCCTCCACTATCCAGTGCCTCCAGCCATCAGTCAGGGGGAGTAGTCCAGATCCCCACTGTCTGCTTTGTGCTGGGATCCCTGCTCTGCATCTCCAATTATGAGGAGGCCATGGGATGATACCAGCTGTTCTTGTGGAAGAAGATGAGTGCCCTTTCAGGGTACCTCCCAGAACACTACCAGGACCTGGCCAGGGTGTTCCAGTGGGAAGCCTTCTGTCTATTATGGCAGTAGATCAACACTGCCGGCCACCAGGCATGTCAATTGCAACCACGAGGCCCTCATTGGCATAATGGTGATCTGGCACCATGCCTGCTTTTGGGCATTGAGCCTTTCCTAGGACACTTGCTCTAAAATCAAAGAGCTGCCATACAATGGGGAGGGCTTCTTCAACACCCACACAGAGAAGAGGCTAGACATGGTATATAAGGTCAGGACCAAAGTAAAGGAGGTGGGCTTCATGTCCCCAGAACAGCTGAGGGTGTATAAATGAACCAGACCCCTTCCTGTACCAGCCTGGTTCCAGCGAGCCACAAACAAGCAGAAGAATGCCTAGCCATCCTGGAGGGATGTAAGCTCTTGGTTCTGGCAACTGCTAAAGAATTGGCTGGACACTGGGGGTGATGCTGTTGACTTCTGCAGCAAGGCAGTCCCCCTACTGCGCAGATCTTCTTGCCTAGGAAACCATTACATCAGATTGGTGGATTCTCTCCATTGTGCAGAGTGGATATCACATTGAATTTGACACCCTTCCACCTCTTGGGTTTGTGTGGTTGTTACCACCTTCTCCAATGTGGGTGGAAGAAGTAGCCACATTGTTGTTGAAGGAAGCGATCCAGCCCATTCCTCTGTCTGATCTCCATTATGGATTCTACTCTCAGTACTTTACAGTACCAAAGAAGAACAGCAACCTCTATCCCATCCTCAGCCTGCGGGACGCTAACCTCTTTATTCCTCATAAGAAGTCACTGCAGAATCTTCAGCCATTGCTGCACCAAGGGGACTGCTTTGCCTTGACTGACTGAAAGGATGTGTACTTTCACATTACCTTCCATTCATACTACTGGCATTTCCTCTGATTCCAGATGGGCTCTGATGCCTACCAGTTTTCAGTGCTCCCGTTTGGCCTTTGCACAAGTTCCCAAGACTTCACCAAGTGCATGGCCATTGGTTTCTGGGGAGTCAGGTGTTCTCCTACCTAGATGACTGACTGACTGACTGTTGCTCCATCCCAAAACAAACTTTTGCAATTTGTCTGGCTCACATATGAACTCCTAGGGATTCTGGGGCTGTTTATTAATAGTGTAAAATCTGTCCTTTCTCCTTCCTTGTCCATCATCTACATTGGAGTGAGACTCAGCATAGTGACAGCCTATCTCCTGCAGCCTACCTCCTAGCAGACAGGGCAGCAGTGCCAATCACTTTCGCTTCATGGCTCTGGGTTGAGCCAAGGGCTATAGCAGGGTGACCAGACTTGCTCAGCAGAAGAGCCACATATAGTCAATGTCAGATGCCTGAGAGCCACAAGTGGGTGCTCACAGGTGGCAGCAGGCAGTGGTCAGCAAGCAGAGAGCAGGTAGTGAGCACTGAGTCACAAAATAAATTCAAAGAGCTGCATGTGGCTCTCAAGCCTCAGTTTGGCCACCCCTGAACTGTGGTAAGTGGATGCTGGGTCTCATGGCAATGAAGGTCACAGTTGTCCTGTTTTCTTGGCTTTGGAAGCCACCCCTTCAGCTCTGGTTTGTGTGAGCCTATCAGCCCCAACACAACTTGATCCTGAAGTGCCTAGTGCTCCTGCACTAAGTATGGGCGAGCCTTAAATGGTGGACTTAACAGTGCAACCTGGCAGAGGGAATCAATTTCATGCTGTGGAAACCAGACACAATCCTGATCATGGATGCATTTCACCTGAGTTAGGGAGTGCACTGTTCCAGCAGCAGGATGCATGGAATGTGGATGGATCGGGACCAAAGGGAGCACATCAACTACCTTGGGCTTCTCATGGTCCAGAATGCATTGATCATGTTCCTGTTCTACCAGAAGAACAAGCATGCCTAGGTCTTCTCGAACAACTCTATGGTGGTGTTCTATCTGAACAAGCAGGGCAGCACATGGTCCTTATCTCTGACTCATCTCACCATGAAGATCTGGATACTGATTATCTGTTGTAGCTTATCCATCTGACTGGGACCATCAGCTATGCAGTAGATGCTCTGAGCGGGAGGACTGAGGGGACTCATGAATAGGAGTTGTATCCAGAAGTCATCACACATCTCTTCCTGGTGTGAGGACCTCAGTGGACCTCTGCACCATGCCAACAAACGCAGTGTGTGACAGCTTCTGCTTCTGGACTGGGACTGGCCACAGCTTGATGGGAGATGCATTCTGCCTGTGTTGGGTAGGGCCCCTGTTCCCACTTATCACCATGGTACTGAAGGCACCTTATGCATTCTGATAACGTCGTAGTGGCCCTGACAGGCATTGTTTGCCTACCACCTCTGCCTATCTGACCACAAATTCATCCAGCTCCTATTGAGACCCAACATCTTTGGGACCAAGGGATGATCCTGTGTCAGGATCAGGTCCTGAATAACTCCACAATTTCTTGCAGAACCAGGAGCACCTTTGTGGGCACTTGCAAGGAGCACCTGCGGAGCAATTCTGCAGTGCAGCTGGAGACCCCGAAGACCAGCATAAAAGGCTTCCCTGCACTACTGCTCCTTGCCACAGCAATGCAAGTGTCCTGGTGACTTCTTGTGCTCTGGCCCCTGCTTTGTTATGCCTTGTTCCAGTTTGTTCCTGCCTTTTTCAAGTCCTGCACCTGTTTGCTCCTGCCTTGTTCAAGTCTATTCCTGCCTTGCTCCAGCCAGTGCCCTTCCTGCTCTTTTCATCTTTGAGTAGACCCTGCTTCACTCCAGCCTGCTACAACCCTCTCATCAATGTCTCTCTGGTAAACTGACTTTGGAACTGTGCTCCGACTCCCTCTCCCTCCCCGTGCCTTTGACTTGTCCCAAGCCTCTGGCCTGTAGTGAGCTCTGGACTCAGCCTCAGCTTGCACCCTGGACCCAGCATTCTGCCCCTTCTTGCTGCTGCCCAGCCCTCATAACCTGTACTAATGATGCTGCCATCCATCTCATGGTGTGGAGGATTGGCTAGTGGATTGGGAGGTTCCTCTCCATCCTGAGATTAAGGCAACCCTGGATGCAGCCCTGCAACTGAACACAGCGAAATGAAATGCTTTTACTTTCTTTGCCTGGGAAGAAGCTTTCAATCTGCATCAGGCATCCATCCATCAGATCCTCAGTTTCCTCCATATGGTCCACTCCAGAGGCTTGAAAGTGGCCTCCCTCAGAGTTTACCTGGCAGCAATATCATCATTCCACAGGTTGGTCGATGATTTCTCCATAGTCTTGCATTTATTGTCCTGTTACTTCATGAGAGGTCTGCAAAACCTATTTCTGCACCCTTGATTGTTCATACTGGGCTGAAGCCTGCAGGCTTCTACAAAGCAACCCTTTGAGCCTCCAGCCACTGTGGACTCATGCCTCCTTTTGTGGAAAGAGGCTATCACATTAGTAAGGCAGGCAAGTGAACTTTGTACTTTGCACATCAATCCACACATTCCATAGGGACAAGATGGCCCTGCAGCCTGACCCAGCATTCCTCCCAAAGGTCATGTCACAGTTTCACCTGAACCAGGAAATTGTTTTGCCAGTGTTCTTTCTAACACCATCCAACCTGGTGGAGTCAGCCCTGCATACGCTGGACATGTGCCAGGATGCTGGCATTCTATCAGTCCTGTACTGAATCCTTCTGCCAGTCCCAAAGACCCTTTATCAGTTATGGTGGACAATCGGGAAGCTGATTAGCCCTCAGTGGCTCACACACTGAGTCATTGAAACTAGCATGCTGGCCTACCAGCTGTCCTTACTACAGCTTCCCAATCAACCCAGAGCACATTCCACCAGAGTGATGGTGACATCTGTAGTACTGCATGCAGGTATCCTTGTGATCCACTCAGTCAACCTTCATCTGGCATGACTGGCTTGACGCCCAAGCCAGACAAGATTGGTCCTTCAGTTTAGTGGTCCTCTTGGAGGTCTTCCGCTGACAACACCTGCCTGCCTCCATCTCGAGGTAAACTCACTAGTTGCCCATATGTGTGATGCACAGAGACTACAAAGAAGAAAGTAAGGTTGCTTTCCTGTAACTGTCACTCTTCAAGTGGTCATCTGTACATTCACACAGCCCACCCATCAACCCCATGTCAGTGTCAACAGCTCAGTTCCTTAGCTTTCCTTCAGGCCTGTGCCTGGATGGTACAGGTTGGCCATTCACTGGCTTTCCTCCTTGTTCTGGAGCCATACTCTTGATCTCGAGTGTACTGGGGAAAATGTTGGGAACCTCTCCTTGATATACCAATATGAAGGAGGGGATAGGCCCCTGCCAGAATGAATCTAGCTTGAAAATCTTCCTGACAGCAGGCCCCATGCAGGTGCAGAGCCCATTTGTGTGAATGCACAGATGACCACTTGAACAATGACAGTTACTGATAAGCAAACTTACTTGCTTAAGCAGTCCTTTGTTTGAACATATGAATCTCTAAATATTTTGAATTTAATGTGTTTAGACTAACTTGTATGTCTTCCATAATTCTGTATATTAACCCAGTTTTCTGCTTTTTATTGATTCTCCTGCTACTCTAAGGACTCATAGTATCGTTTCCCCCTCTCCCTACAGAGATGTTGTGGAAGTTCTGTTGAGAAATGATGCATTAACCAATGTGGCTGACTGCAAAGGCTGTTATCCTCTTCATTTGGCAGCTTGGAAAGGAGATGCTGAGATAGTGAAACTGCTAATACACCAGGGACCATCCCATACGAAAGTGAATGAGCAGGTCTGAATATATTCTTCTTTTTCATGTTTTTAATGATCTAATATTAGCAGGATAATTCCCTAGAACAAGGTGAATCCAATACCTGTAAGACTAATTTAAGATTATTGCTTGAAAGGGAACTAAATGTTAAATACTATCTCTGCATAGGATATACTTATATTTATCTGTACTTCTGCAAAGCTGCTCTTCTGTCTGGCCATCTGATTTGGGAACTGAGAAAGTGACCAGCAGATGAGTTGCAACACAGGCATAATGGAGGAGAATTAATGCAGCATTTTTGTGGAGGTGGGGAGGTTATTTGAAACTTGGTATATCAGTTCCCTTCTCTGTTGGAGCCAGAGTAACCTTTGTGTCTCTTAGCCATGTTTTTGTAACTGCTCTTACTTTGTTCCAGTAGTTGTGCTTAGCAAGGCAGCAGAGTTCATTACAGCATAGCTTCCACTTATCATAAGTAACTTACTAAAAACTTCCACTTCAGTGAGGCAAAAATCTGTAATGGTCATTACTGTTTAAAGTGCATGTCATTTGACTTGTATCATATTAAAAACAAACCATAAATCTTGTATTTTTTTGGAAGCTAACAGACTTATAAAATTCCTATTAAAAAGCCAAATGTCTTTTATGCTTCTTAGGGGCACACAGTGAAGCTGAAATCAATATTGTGGTCAGTTCATTTTAACTTTGACTACTACAAATTTCCTTCCTGTTATGATTCTCGTGTGAAATGCTGGTCTTTTGGGTATTTGCCTCTTTGTTCTAACACTGTTAAATTATAACTAGTTGATGCATTTTCCTCAGAGGTTCATATAACCAATATTTCTCCAAATTGAAAACATATTAAAGTTCAAAGAAACTGGACTATTGGGCATATTGGTGAGTTTTCTGACCAAGTTATTGGAGCAGTCTGTCCATAATGGGCACAGTTCATTTTTTCTCATTGGACATGAGACTTAGATTAGGTGAGACTCTATACTTTGTCTCTCCAGTTTCAATAGCAAGCATTACTCATGCTGTGTCACAAAGTGATTACTATGGTCCAGACTGTAACCAGGCTGAAGGTGTAGGCTACACATGTTTGTTCAGAATTAAAGTTAAAATTCCATCTCTCCTATATATACATAACTATGGGAACATAACATCTGTGATATCATGTAGTTTAGCAATATTTCCCATAAATGATCTATTCTAGGAACAAAATTTGTGCTTTAAAAGATTCAGAAGTGCTGTTCAGCTGCTGATTAGTAACATTCTTCATGTTGAAATGGCTAAATCTGCATGTTAAAATATGCCTTGATTACATTGTTTGCAAGTTCTTTTTCCTGGGCTCTCCTCGTTGTGCCCTCAAGTGCAGCTGTGATCAGTCGATTTGTTCTAGTTAACAACATTTAAGTTTTATAGCACTGGTTACTATTGTCTAGTGTCCTGGAAGGAGCTATTTCCTACAATCTCTGTCTAGCATGATGCCAAATACATAAAATAATTATTAAAATCTTAAGTAGTGAACTATAAATGATTTTCAGTTAAAGTATGCATGTTGTCTTAAAACAATGTGCATGGTGCAGTTATTGACAGCTGGAATGGCCAGTGTGATTAATCGCTTTTCATTGGAATGAAATATTGTTATGTTCTGTCATTCCTCCCCTTCAGAGTCACTCACTGCTTTGTTGCTATATCTTTGCCCATTTCATCATCACGTTTTCTTTTCCTCTCCTTTTTGTAGAATGCTCTTGAGATCAAAGAACTCAAAAAGTACGGCCCCTTTGACCCCTATATCAATGCCAAGGTGTGTACTTCGCTGCCAGGATTTCATTACATCATTACTCCAAGTTTTGTATTTGTGCTTTCAGGTGCATTATCATCTAGCTGGGAGAGTGGGGGCTGTAAATTGCATTTTTTTCTACTGTGGAATGTGTAATAAACCTCCTTTTGTAGGACAGCTTTTTGACATTCTGCTTGGGTATTTGGTTTTCCCCAGTGCTTTGACTTGCTATATGTGAGATGCTGATCAGTTCCCAATTTGGATGTAGCATTTGAAAACACAGTTTGAAAATGTTCAGATACTATTTCCCATGTTTAATAAAAGAGGGGAAAATACTGAGTGTGCTATGGTATATGATCCAAAACTGAACTCATGATTAAAGTTCAATTAACTAAAGAGAGCTATACTGTGTAAGATATCAAAATAGTATGGTAGTGGTTTGGTGACGACACCAATATCCATGTTCGTGTGTGTGTATCTTTACTTGTTTCCTTGGATGCATTTTGGCATTGAATCATTGTGTTGTCTGAGCCTTACCAATATTTCCCCTTTGCTTCTAGTAATTCTGGATTTATAAACAAAGTGTAAAAGCAGTTTACTGAAGCAAAGACTCTGAGAACCATTTCAAGTTGTCTAAGGTTATTAGAAATGTAATCCAATAGTATATTTTGAAGCACCCTCTTTAATTTATTATTTCGTATAATCAAATTCCAAGAAGTAGATGCAGTTGCCTTTTTTCACATTTATACTTCAGGGTCACTCCCAGCCTCTCAAATATTGGTTCTTAAGGTCCAGCAAAAATCTTACTGTACTTCATTTGCATGGCTTTAAACACACACACAGAAGCAAAAAATATAAGGAGAGAAAGTTAATAGGAAGACAGTTAATTTAAACATTTTGCTGTAGTAGGGTCCTGTATAGGAAATGTGGTTCATAAACCATGTGGTGCAGCCTTTAATGGCATATGACTCAATCCTTGATATATTAAATGACCTGCTGTTCTAAGAATAATATTCTGTTGAAGACAGTGGCATCATTTTGTTTGCTTGAGCTTGTCACCTGCCAAGTGCCAATGAGGATTTTTGGACATCAGTGACACTTCAGAAGTCATGCTCTGCATTGCTATATTTCACACTCTAGAATATATGCAGTGAGAAATACAGCAACCAGGCTGAATTAGAAACTTAAATCAATGATGTCAATCATGAATTTAAAAGAGCAATCTAAAATGGCTGTCTGTAACCCACCAAACTCTGAGAATTATGAACATCCTATGGAGAGAGTAGAAAGAGTACAAAAACGAAGTTTGTGTCCATGCTTCTCCTGCCCTGCAAAACCAGCTCTGTTCTCAGAGCACATTTTTGAGGTCAGAGATGGGTCTCTGAATTCTCCTGTGACTATTTAAACACTGTCTGGTGACCACTGGATTGTGTCCTAAACCACTGAGAAAAAAATCACCTTCAATAATAGATTAAGCTACCAGTTCTGTTCAGTAATTCAGATATTTGGTTACTCTAAAAATTAAAGTAGGTTTACAACTAAGTGGAGTGCTGATACTATCTGAAACCTTAGGTCATTGTGATTTTGTTGTACAGAGTTTATATTACCTTGGAACAAGGAGGCAATTGTGAAATTTATTTTTGTTTTGGCTCTTTATGCACATACAAGAATACTAAGCAAAAGTCGTTTATTTGAAGACTCAGTGCTGGGATCCAAAGAACCATGAACTAGTTCTGTGAGTCTGAGCAGGCTTTACACTTGTTTCTTCTCAAATGGCAGATTTGAAGGTTAAAAGAAGCAAAGAAACATTTTGAGGAACTTAACTCTAACAATATCAAGGCCAACAATAAAGACTTCTTTGAATATACCAGCTAAAGAGTCAGTTGACCTATTGAATCATAATGAAATTAAGGACATGCTAAAGAAATTCTCAACCTTATTAACAAGCTGAAAGTTAATAATTTACCAAGTCCAGATGGCATCTATCCTAGATTTCGTAAAAAGTTCAAATAGTAAAATCTCATCTTTTTACTGAAATATGTAATGTGTCCCTAAGATAATCCTCTGTGCTAGAGGAGAATGGCCAATACAACACCAATTTTTAGAAAGGGATCTCAAAATTACAGACCAGTTAATATAATGTTTTTTCCAGGTAAATTGGTTGAAATTGTTATTAAAGATAGAATTAGTAAGAGTATAGATGGACAGGCTCTGCAGAAGAAGCATCAACATTGTTTCCCTAAAGGTAAGTCCTGGCTCACTAAGCTGTTGAAGTGTCAGTAAGAATGTGGACCGAAATCCCAACTTCAAGTCTAGGCTGATGGGATCTGAGTTTGCAGTGACTGATCTTGGGGTTGTGGTGGAAAGTGCAATGAAAATGTTGGCCCAGCATGCAGCTGCTGTGAAAAAGGCAAACTCAATGTTAGGCATAATTGGGAAAAGGATTTGAACACGCAACAGTCAAGCTCAAGCTCCCCTGAGACAGATCTTTGGCATGAGTGCACTTGGAGTATTATATAAGTTCCAGTCACCACACCTGATAAAGGACACCACAAAGCTGGGAAAACTGCAGAGAAGGGCTAGAGTTACTGTGAGGCAGAATGGTAACAATAAGTGGTACTGTTTAGCTAGGAAAAAAGGCAAGTAAGGGAGGACATAATAGAAGTATTTAACAAGGTGAGGAGAAAGTGGTGAGGAAAACATATGAGTATTTCTCCCTATCCCATAATACTAGAACCTGGGATCATCCAATGAAACTGATTAGTAGGAGATTCAGGGCAGATAAAAGGGAGTATGTCTTCATACAATGGCCAATCAATCAATGGAATTCACTGTCATAGGAAGTAGAGACGGCCACCAGTTTGGATGGCTTTAAAATGGAACTGAATAATTTCATCAAAGCAAAGACTATCCATGACTACTGGCCTTGCTGGCTGTGTGCTGCCTCTGTTATCAAAGATGGTATGCCAGCATACACCATTTATTTATTGAGGAGCTTGGGCAGGCGTGTATACATCCTGCTTGAGGGAGCCTATGGGCAACTGGTTTGAATAGAGTGCTGGATGGATGAATTAGTCTGATCCAACATGGCTTTCCTTATGTTCTCAGTAAGTGAAGTTCAAAAAGCAAATTATGACATGGGGATCTTAACAACTGCCGACCCCCCGCCCCAAACCCTCAATATCTACTGAGTTAGTTCTAGCTTCTTGTGTTAGCAAGTACACTGACTTTCTAGAAGCAAAGACATGTAGTTATTGAACAGAACAATATACCACCCCCACCCCATTAGATAGAAAGTAAATTCCCATGTTACTAAGGACTATAAAGTTTCATTACTTGCCACTGGAATTCAATGCATGACCAGTTTTGACATATAACTTGAGGTGTAACATTATAAATATGTTCTTTCATGGTTTGGTCTTTTAGCTAGAAAAGGGCTTTCTCTGTGCCGCCAATCTAACGAAGGTTAATTGTCCTTAAATACATGTGAAATCTGTCACCATTTAAGGCAAGAGGTTTGGGTTAGATGGGACCAGCTTGGAATCCTGGTGGTTAGAATGTTGGATAGGAGACCCAGGAGATGTGGATTCTAGTCTTCACTCAGTCATGAAGTTCCCTGGGTGATTTCGAGCCCAACCACTCACTCTCAGCCCAACATTCCTCACAGGATGGTTGTTTTGAGGAGCTAGGCATCTTGGGGTTCCTCGCAAGAGGAAGAATGGTGGGATATAAGTGCAATGCCACTGTTCTTTTTATCTGATATAAGAACCATGCTAGAATGATCAGTCTAGACTAACATTGTGTTTTTGGAAGCTCTGAGAAGTTCATTCATATGGCATAATAATGACATGTTTTGCCTCCTCTTATTTCTAAGACCAGAGATATACTGCCTATAAACATGGAGCTTTCATTTAACTATCACATTGGTGATAGCAATTTATGAAATTCATGAGGGATAGGTCTGTCAACTTTTAGAAAGTAAGCTGGCAGCCATCACCATATCTTACATGGTAAATTTCATAATTGTAGATTGTGCATGCATATTACCTCCTGGAGCAGACTCAGTATTCTTCTATATACCAGTTACTGGGGGACAAGTGGAAAGGTATTATTACATTTGTGTCTTGCTGTGCTCTTCCCATTGACATGGTTGCTTGCTGTGCAGATCAAAATTTAGTGAGATCCAGTACAATTCTTCTGATATTCTTACACTTTTTGATAGTTCTGAACATAGTGCAAATTAATTTGGTCGGATAAGGACAAATGTTCAAAAGTTGTGATGGGGAAGTATTTATATGTATCTGTTTTTTCCATATGATAACCTTCAGAAACTATATCATGTTCATTGGTACATTTTTCTTTAAATCTATGTTGCATACACTGCATGGTATCCAGTGTTTCTCTGTATCAGTCACATCCATTTCAGTGGATTCGCGCTGTATAGCACTAACCTTGGATAATATCTACATGAGCGTGCGTGTCTGTTTGCTAATGTCATTTTGCTTCTATAATAGATGTGTGCATGTTTAAAAAAAAAGAAATATGCCATTATGTTACTATTTCTATACTGCTTGATTAGCATAGTGCTCTCAGAATGGTGTACAATATATACAGTTAAAGAAACTCTTGTTTGTCAAAAATGAAATAAAATAAAAATAGACACAGTTTCCAGGTAGAGTGAGTGGGAGTAGTAAATAGGTTCCAAGCAAGGGCTGAGTTAGTGGAAGCTTCTCTTACAATGCTTAGAGAAGGACAGATCAGTAGAAGGTGTGTATATGAGGCCTACTTTTTAAGTCTGGCAACTTTGTATTTTCATGGCTTTATAAATTTTTTTAACCACAAAGCAGTAAGAACCTATTGTCCACTTAAAATCAAGCGAAGCTACACATTTTGCACCTAACCTGGCTTGCTTTAATAGGCATAATCAAACAAAATTTTGTAGCTATTTTGTTTATTCACCACATAGTCCCTTTAAGCATTCTATGGGAGCAGACAAGAAAAAAGGCTTTAAAGTTTGCATCAGT